ATTAGGTCAATCCGCATCAATCCTCCCTGGTAACAAAACTATTTAGAGTTAAAATTTCACTAATTAAAAATATTCATGTAGATTGTCCAATTTCTTTAGAATGGCAGCATTAATATAGTTTTTAGGATTTTTAAAATATTTTCTAGGTTATTAGCTTTAAAATGAGTATAGGAACTAGGTATTCTGAATCGATGTTAGAGCCACTAGAATTTCTTTTCGTAAAATTTTTCGTGTTCCATTTCTTAAGTGAGCTACTGTACATGTAATTGTCGGCATTGTAAATCATCTTCAAATAGAAACATTTTTCATTTAATGTTGTTGTTATATTTAATTACTGTATCTAATGCTTGTATTTATTTTTAATTCGTGTTACTTTTATTCATCGTTATCAATGAAAATGATTGCATAATTTTTAAAGTTAATTATTAATTATTGTATATCAAAATGCTTACCGTTACCGTTACGTCCATTGTGCACAATAAATGCCTGATTTAGAATAAATATATGTTTATCCCCTCCCATAAATGCACGCTCTGGGATTTAGTCCCCCCCTTTAGTATTTACTCTTTGTAAATGCAAATTTTTTCTAAATGCATATTGTATATCTGATTTTTCTATGTTCCCGACAACGTGTGGTTAGATGAGTCTGATTATATGTCGTTACAGATTGTGCTGAAAAAAGGTGCTGAAACTTACGTGCTCGAATTGTGCTGAAAAACATGTTGAAAGTAGTATAATATTATAAATGACCGATTGTGCTGAAAAACGTACAGTGTTATGTGATCGATTGTACTGAGACAATCTTGCCATAATTAATAGAATAATGGAACAACATGTATAACTAATGCATCTCCATCGCCCACTCTGACGGAAAAAATGATGATTGTAGTAATAATGATAATATAAATCAAGTTCTTATTCATCTACATGTACATTACAATGCACAAGATCCGAGCAATATAATTTGTGCCTTTGAATTCGACATGCAAGCATTGTATTGTATGCATTGCATGCATACACTTTTTTATTTAATTTGTTTCTCTTTTTATTTTGGAAAGAATAAAATATCCCTTACGAAATCGTATTAGTAAGTACGATGTAACATACCCTGGTTCGAATTCTATTTACGATATTCTGGGGGGATACCATGTATGGAAAAGTGTACGGTGTGATGGGATAATCAAGCGGATACAATTACAAAATGTCGTTTTAACATTAAGGAATTATTGTTTAATTCTTTCTTCTAAAACAAAACGTTATTGTAAAAATTCAGATACATAATAATACATTGTATTCAATGACAATAATCAACAAGGAAAGTTAATGTTAATAATAACGTTAGCATAAAAATCAGCCTGTTCAATATTAATAACTATAGCAATATAAAAATGCTTTAACCTTAATCAAATTATACCAAATGCCAAGCATCAAGAAGCTTTCCTTGAATGTATTAATTTGTACTGCCTGAACTAATAAACATTGTACAAATTGAAATTTTCTTTCTATATTAAAATTTTGTTTTTATTATTAAATATTTTTTTATTTTTTTGTTAAAATAATGATAATCTAGATTTAATATATAATTTTTTTGATTTTTCAGAAAAAATAATCATTGTAAAAATGACTCATGATTAAATTTTTGCAGTGACGAAAAATTTTTCAAGTTACTTTTTCAGGGTAGTGTATATCGTTTCTTAGCACAGAAATGACCTTATGAACACAAAATTTTGGATTTAAAGAAAGGTATGATACAATATATATATATAGTATATATAAATATAATATACTCGTCAATATGATCAGCCTTTCCCTTAACACATATCGGATACAAATCAAGAGATAATTCACTAGTAGAATACGTTATTATAAACATAATTAGCGGCTATTTATCAATTTGCACAGCAAAATACTTGACGTAAAGTTTAAGCTAGAAAAAAACTAAAAATACATCCTAATACAAACAATTGATGAGAATAATTCCCCTATTTCACAGGAATTGCGCTATCAACAATGATTAGAACTATTTCTTTAAATAGCACTTTTCATAAAAATAAATCAAGCAAAATATCGATTATGACGCTAAAGTTTATTTTATGCTTGTATACATGTACAGTTCACCTTCATTAATATGACATCGTTGGTACACAGAAAGGGAACTAATAAAAGATGTCATAACAAAGAACAATTTTATATATGTGTATAGCTCTATATAGACTGTGTAATTTGATGTGGTCATATAAACGAAATTGTCATATTAATTAACATTATCGTTTTGACTTATACATGTATTACATATTCGGTAGTACATGCAAGTACATGTATAAATGTCATTATCCCCTTTAAAAAATGTATCTATGCAAGTCTCATAGTGTATTTGGCGTAATCTTCTGAACACAATCAATAGATTTCATTTTGTACTTTGCATATTGTGAATTCGTTTTCTAGAAATTACACACTCAAAAATCCAATCATATAACAATATGAGCTAAAAATAAACAATTTCCATTTAGAAATTTCTTGTTATTAACAAGGAAGCCAAGCACTGATCCTCAGAGGCCTAATGTTCAATAAATACAAAAATATCTTCAAGAAATCTGACTCATAGTATCGAATTCTTAAAATGAATAATTTTCAGAAAAATTATTACTATATACAATGCTAACGTTTTAGCTCAACAAAGTATGTAAGGCTAAACGCATACTGTAACCGTGAAATTTTAATGTCTAATTTTATTTCGTTCATAATGTTTTAGTAGTGGCAATATCGCGAATAATAATAAATAATGTTACAAATTTTAACTGAAACAGTAACGGCAGTAATAATGGTAACGGAAATCTAAAATACTGGTAATCTTAACGGAATACATGCATCAACGAAATTTTAACGGAAATAGTAACGGCAATAATAATAGCGGAAGTAATAACGGAAATTTTAATGTCTTCAGAATTTTGTTGAAAAAAAGTTAAATTTTACTAATTAAAAATGTTCACTTAGTCGATATTGGAGGCGCTAGGATTTTTACGTAAAACTTTTCGTGTCCATTTTCATAAGTGAGCCAATATATATATTTTACATGTAATAATATCTAATGCCTAAACACAAATTTTAATGATTTTATTGCTTGTTAATATTGTTATGAAATTAAAAATAATTGAAATTAATCATTTTAAACCGGTTATTATTCAGATAAAAATCAAACTTAAGCCGAAAGAGTTAAATAAAGCCATTATTATACTTTTAAATATTTCATCAATGAGAAGAAATGAATCAGCACTTGAAATAAGATTATTATTACTAGGTGAGTTACTGTTTGTTACAGCAACTACCACTTTAGTTGACGAAACAACAACTTTAGATGAAGCCACAACAGTGGTAATAACTTTCGTGGAAGAATTTTCAGTGGTAGTAATTAATAATGTGGCGGAAGTTGCCAAAGTGGATGTAAAATATTTTATAGAGGTGATGGAACTGGGTGCAATATTAGCAGAATTTGGCTTTCCCCGCGAAGTAGGTAAATTATTCTCAGTAATTGTTTGCGTAGAAGCTTCATTCTGTGGATTTGACTGAGAATTAAAGTCATTATTTTTACTTTCAGTTTGCTGAACGGATTGATATGTAACTGTGTTTGAATTTTTAATACTTACTGGTGCAGGTGTATTATTTCCGACGTCGGTTTGTGGTGGATTTTGTTGATTATTATTATTATTGTTATTATTATCATTATTATTATTATTATTAGCTGATGCAGGTTGATTATTTCCAACATTGGCTTGTGGTGAATTTGGCTGATTATTATTATTATTACTATTAGCTGGTGCAGGTTGGTTATTTCCAACATT